TTTTTTTTTTTTTTTTTGGCTTATAAGTTAATATACATACAGTCACATAACAGACTGAGTTTAGAGCAACAGAAAAACCTGTTGGATGACATCAGAGTTCCACGCTCCCGAAGAACCAATAACATCTTGGACGTACTCCAATCCCGGCACCCTGGGGGAGAAAGGCCTGAACCACGAAATATGCGGGATCCACGTGTCTTTAAAGATTTTAAACCGTGAGCCATCTCCGATCCGCCATCTCATACCTGCTTTGCTCACTTCTCCTCCCCATAACTAACTCTTTCAAAAGAAAGAGGAACTCGAGCGAGCGTTGGTATCAAGAAATTCGCCATCTGGAAAATATTTGGCTTTAAGCACACGAGTATTGAAATTGTTATTATAACAATTATATATGAATCTTTGATGGGTTTCTTTATGAACTTTTTTTTTGTGGTAAATAACTTTAAAATGCTACAAGTACATCATAAATGTACTAAGGAAAATGATACAAATACATAATAAATGTACATAAAGGTATATATAACACTCACATGGAGCGAGGTCCACTTGATTTTTTATTTTTGGTGAGTCATACTCAATGTGAGTGTTATGTACTTATAGCATTACTCTTGCACTAATTATAGATATCTCCAACTATGACACCTACAATTATGTAAAAATTAATATCTATACTTATATTAAAGGTCATACCATTTACTTAAATTAGTATGTAGAAAAGTCAAAGCAATTAATGCTTATCTATTTTTATCATTTGAATATTATATTTAATATTTATTTATTTCAAATCTAATCATTACTTAATGCTTTTAAATGCAGTTGAAACTTTTTTGGTGTTTGATTTTTAAATCCGTGCATTTGGGAATCTTCCAAACTATTTTCATAAAAAAATAGAAACCAGATTTCATTGTTGTTAAAAAAATCTCAAAAAAATATAAATCTAATTTCTTAATTAGTTAATTTTTAAATCCGTGAATTTGGGAATCTTCCAAACTATTTTCGTAAAAAAAATATAAATTAGATTTCTTTGTTGTTAAAAAAAATCTAAAAAAAATATAAATCTAATTTCTTAATTAGTTAGAGATTACGATGCCTAATGGGCCAACATACAAATCCTCAGCAGAAAATAATACACGTGATTGTGAATTATTTTTCAGCGCGTAAATAGATGATGATTATCATTATGCAATATATTTATACAATCTTATCTGATTTGTTACTACAGATAATTATCTCATTTGATTTACTTGCCATTCTCTCTCCATATTATCTCTACATATAATTCAATCACTTAATGTAATTACGAATACGAATTATAAATCTCTCAATCTCCCAATAGCGATTGCTCTCTCCTGCAAAAAAACCAAAAACAGATCAATTTCATCGATAAAAATGAATCAAGGCTCTGGGTTGATCGAACAAGTCAATAGGTCTACTAGACCAATGCTGAAAGTTCGTATTGTACGAATGTTCTTCCAAGATTGGGGCAGTACATACAAATCGTATCTTGAATTGGTGCTACATGACAAAACTGTAAGCCAACAATAATTTTTACTAATTTTCGTACATCATTTATTTGAGATTATTTTTTTTTTTCGAACTATCAAATATTTTTTCGTGCATATATATATTTTTTAGTATTATTTTCGGATATTAAAACCAAAATTTATTTTAATTGATATCGTTTTCTTTCGTATATGTTCAGGGAAATCGTATAACAGCATGGCTACGGGCGGTCAATTTGACTACCTTTAAGGAAAGGAACTTTGAAGAGGGCATGGTGATTTGCATAAGAAATTATCAAGTCGAAAGCAATTTAGGGAAGTATCGTTCTACTTCTGGAGAATTTAAGATCCTTTTGCATGGGAGCACTATGTTTTCGAAGTGCAAGGATGAATTTCCTATTTTTCGTTTTCAATTCAAAGACTTTGCAACTTTGCAGCATGTCAATCAAATTGATGAGTCCAAGTTATTTGGTAATATTATTTTACGATGTTTCTAATTTAATATCTTTTATTAAAACTAATTAAATTATAATATAATGAACTTTTTTTTTTTGTTGTAGATGTTATCGGATTAGACGTTGACATTCAAAGTGTGCAAGAGAAACAGTTAAAAACTGGCGATACCCAATTGGTTGCCTTCATTCTAATGGATCTTAAGTAAGTTTTTAATTTTTATATATAGATTTTTGGCTAGGAAAAACGTTTTTAATATTTTTCATTTGAATTTTAATGCAGTGAAAATTTTATCAACTGCACGGTTTGGGGTGAATATGTCGATCAACTTTTGGCTTTCGAGAGCCATTACGAAGAAACTGGACAACCGTGGGTACTAATTATGCAACTTGTGCGTTCTAGAGAATACCTACGTAAGTATAGATTTCAATTTACTATATTTCGATTATCATAAGTACTATATTACTTTTGAATTATATTAATCAAATTAGTTTAATTACTTAGTTTAAATGTTCAACACAAATAATTTTATTGTTCATCAAATTAGTTTATTTTCGAATATTATAAAGTACCCACGGTTATTTTCGAATTATATCAATTATTTAATTAAAAATTTAGTCCAATCATATTTTTATCATTCTTAATGTGCTGTTTAGTTATTTTCGAATTAAACGGTTTAATTATTTAAATTTAAATGTTAAACACAAATAATTCTATTTATTTTTTATATATTTTCGTATATATATATATATATATATATAATATATTTTTATCATATTTTCGTGTATATATATATATATTACAATTTTTATCATATTTTCGAATTAAATGGATTAATTATATATATTTTTTTTGTTATTTTCGTGTATATATATATATATATATAATAGTTTTATCATATTTTCGTACATATATAAATTATAATTTTTATCATATTTTCGAATTAAAGGGTTTAATTATATATATATTTTTGTTATTTTCGTATATATATATATATATAGATACATTTATATTATTATATCATATTTTTGAATTAAAGGGTTTAAATATTAATTATTAAATTAAATTTAAATATTAAACACAAATAATTTAATTTACCTTTTCAATCCGTGAAGTATTTTTTTTTAACACATTCTATTTATTATTTTTATATATTTTCGTGTATATATATATTTATCTCATATGTCTATATATATATATATATATTATATACATTTTTGTTATTTTCGTATATATATATTTGTTATTTTCGTATATATGTATATATATATATATTTATATATATAATCGATTAAAAGAAACTTAACATGAAATTGTTATATATGTTTGTAGAAAAGGTACAGGTGACTACTTCATTAAATATTACCAAGCTGATCGCCCATGACTCTGTTGATGAGATCCGTGAGTTTTGGAGAAAGTAAAATTATATATTTTGGGAGATATTATATGTTGTTGTTTCGCGTATAACTACTAGAAGGGAGTTGAAGATATTAGTTTGTGAGAATGAAAAGTTGCCCAATAATCAAACTCATAATGTTGTGTACAAAGAGGTCTTTAATAATATATGATTGTTTCTTTGTGGAATAATATTTTTATTGTACAATTTTCCTCCGTATTGTAAAACTTTTATATTGCATATTGCATCTTATAATATAATAATTCCAAAGTTAATATATCCCGTTTCGCACAGGTAACGTACTATATATATCCCGTAATTTTTTTGTTCTTTATTTATATACTTATAAGGCTGGTTAAGTGTCCAAAAAACTGTACATCCCGTGCATCGCACGGGCTCTGTACTAGTATTTAATAATTTGCAATCAAATTAACATAATTCTTAAGCTATATATTCCTCTTTCTCGAATTTAATATAAATATTACTAGTTAATATATTAAATATACTAGAATTGAATAGAGATTTTTTTTTATCATTTTTTTCCCTAAAATATTTGATTTATTTATCTAATGAAATTATTGTAAATTACATTTACATAATATGGTAAGTAAACTATAAAGTCATAGAATGATTTTTTTTTAGAAAAAAAAAATATTATTTAGTGTTTACTTATTTAAATTTAACTATTAGTTATCATATAAATAGAAAAAATAAAAAATAAAACTTAATGTGGATCAAAACTATTTTTTTTTTTATACTAATTTGTTTAAAATTTAATTATCCTGGCCAATGCTTCGCACAATCTAACGGTTGAGACCATCTGGTCTAATCAACGATCTTGATCAACTGCGCACAAATGATTTACTGTACACCTCCCCACATACGATGTTCGCCCTCTTCAAGCCTAAAACCCTTTGCAGGGTCGAGGGGGGAAAAAAGGTATTTAAGCTCCCCGCTGTGGTGTCTGCTTAAACCCTAAACCCCAATTTCAGTTCCATTTCCTTTGATCTTCCGCGGTACATTTTTGTCGATTCAGGTTTTTACCATTCTTGTTCAGTTCTTTTTTTTTTTTTTCGAAGAGGTTTAGGGTTTATGGAGACCTTAATTCATTTTGTTGATGTTATTCATTCTGTCTGGGCTGTCAATAAATGGTCTTGTGCTGTTTGTTGTATCCTGTGTTTTCACGATTGTGCTTTGTTCGTTATACTACTCTGTTATCGAGACTAAAATGGAGAAAAAATTACTGCTTTTTTATGTAATGTATTTGTCATTTTCTTGGGTGTGATTGTGTGGAGTGATTGCCGTTAGTTAATGAACTGTTGTGGAGCACAAGGGGTTTTATGTGTTTTTGAAAAATGTGATTTAAATTCGATCTTTGAGAGAGTCGAATCGTGCCCGGTTTATACCTTCTCTCTGTTTCTTGGCTGGGCATGATGTATCAGAAGCATAATATGGTTCATCAAAACCCACAAGATATTTTGGGGAATGACCCTTTTTTTTTAGCCTATTATTAGATAATTTTCGTGAAAGTTGCGAGTTTGATATGTTCTTACTTAAGCTTCAATCGATGCCTTATTATTCTGTTTAGTTTTAACCTTCATCCCTATATTTTTATCTTTTAGTTTTTGGTGGACCCTTGCACTAGGTACAGCAATGGCTTTCCTGAGCCGAGTTGGCGCATTGCTAAAACACAATTTCAGCAAACATATCACACCAGCATTTTCTGCCTCGAACCCTTCACTTTTTCAGGCGATAAGGAGCATGAGCACGAATTTGAATACAAAGCTCTTTGTTGGAGGTTTGGTCTTCATTTGCTTGTGGTGAATTGTTTCAGTTTTAATGGCATTTTGCACACTATGCTAGTATCTTACTGCAGGTCTCGGTTATAGAACGGATGAGCAAACTGTGGGGGACCATTTTTCTCGATATGGGGAAGTTGAATACGGTATCATCTCCTAAAGCCCTTGATGCAACTGCATTGCTTAGCTTTTTTTTTTTTTTTTTTTT